GACTAAATTTATAGAAAATATAGCAATATCCATGATACAATATTAGCTTTATTAAATATAAGATTAAATATATTTTAATATTTTAATAGTATATTTGTTTTGTGTTGAGAATGTTATTATATTTTTGAGGAAAGTCCATCACCGGTCCCTAAACTTGTACCGCTGGGTCATTCCGGTCCCTAAACTCGCAAATCGACCGTTCAGTTCCTCAAACTTGTTCGATTGTGTCATCCCGGTCCCTAAACTTACAGATCACTCGTTTAGATCCTCCAACTTGTTCAGTAGTGTCATCCCGGTCCCTAAACTTGATTTGAATATCATCTAGATCAAATAGGACGGTCTAAAAACTTTATATTTAAAAATAATTCATAACATTTTCATGTGAACTTTAATGAAGATAAACTTTATATCAAACTTGTAACCCTCGACGTGATCTACAATTTTGTAGTTGAATTTTTTTTATTTTAAGTCATTTTTGTCCCAAAATGTAATTTTAAAATTAAAATTTCAAAATCTATAAACATGCAACAATATTTTGGGACCCTAAATAGTTTTGATACAAAAACTTTTCAACAACAAAGTTGTAGGTCGCGTCGAGGGCTACAGTTTTGATATAAAGTTTGTCTTCATTAGAGTTCACATGAAAAAGTTATAAATTATTTTTTAATATAAAGTTTTTAGACCGTCCTGTTTAGAGACCGGGGTGACACAACTGAACAAGTTAGAGGACCTAAACGAGTGATCTGCAAGTTTAGGGACTGGGATGACACAGTCGAACAAGTTTGAGGACCTGAACGGTCGATTTGCGAGTTTAGGGATCGGGATGACACAGCGGTACAAGTTTAGGGACCGGTGATGGACTTTACTTTATATTTTTTCTACAAAGTCAAAGCGACTTATAATACAAAACAGAAGGAGTATTATTTTTTACTACTCTTCGTTCTATAATATAAGTATTTTTAGCATAGTGACAAGTCAAAACATTCTTAACTTTGACCATTAATAGAAAAAAAGAGAGATCAATCATGTAAAAATGATGTTACTAGATTTATCATTAAAAAAATTATCATAATATGCAACTCTTTTTATTTAAAGCATCTTACTTTTATAGATATTGGCCATGTTTAGATCCAAGGGATATTTTTTTAGCCCTACCTCAAATAGCCCAAATAGTTCAAAAGGATCCAAAAGGGTGAGCTATTTGAGGACTATTTGGAAATAACCCACCAAAAAAACTATCCCACCCAAGGGGTGCTAATTGGGGCTATATATTTCAGGTGGGGCCACTGAAAAAGTGTATTTTCTCTCTATCTCTCTCCATGTGAAGGTACATTAAAAGCCAAATAGCTCTCAAAATAACCCTTGGATCCAAACAAGTTAGAGCTATTTTATTGGAGGGCTATTTCTTTGTGCTAAATAATACTTCATCTGTTTCACAATGTAAGTCATTCTAATATTTCTCACATTCATATTGATGTTAATGAATCTAGATAGATATATATGTCTAGATTTATTAACATCAATATGAATATGGAAAATGCTAGAATGACTTACATTGTAAAATGGAGGGAGTAGCTCTCAAAATAACTCTTGGCTAGTTGTCAAACATGGCCCTTGTTGGTTAAAGTAATATCTCGGAGACCGTGTCAGGATCCAAAAAATACTTATATTTTGGGACGGAGGAGTACTAAGGCACTGTTTGATTCAGCTTAGGATTATTATAATCTGGATTATTAGGAATAAGCTGAAACAAAACAGATAGATTATTATGATAGATTATTATAATCTGTAAGGCAGATTATTATAATCTAATAATCCACTCTAAAGGTGCTTATTTTAGATTATTGAGTAGCTAACAGCTAACAAAACAGCTTATAGTCCATATAAACAAACAGCTCTCACAGCTTATTTTATATCAGCTTATTATAATTCAGCTCATAGTAATCGGACACAATAATTTAGATTATAATAGTTTTAAGTTGAAGGTGAAACAAACCGGCCTAAATTGGAGATTAAATTTGCTTTTGATAGCAGCGTTGCTTGCGTGTGACGGTTTGTGGATCCATGCCATTGCCATCTGACTCGCATCGGGAACAACCGACTCTGTCTGTTTCACGACTATACTGGGCCCCACGCACCCAGGAGCGCGAGCGAGAGGCTACTTGGAGTCCAAGAAAGTCGCCGAGAGCCAGAGCTTCCCATTCGGCCGCCCAGGCTTGGCAGTCAAGGAAAGCCCAACGACGGGATCATCCCACCCGTCCGTCCCCCAACGGACGGCGCCGAGATCGATCAACTCCAGCTGGGGAGTGTGAGGTGACGTGGCACTGATCTGACGGGTGGGGCCCAACGTGGTGGGAACTGCCTTCCCTGGTGGTCACGCGTGTGATGGGCGGAGGCGAGGCAGGCAAGGATGGCGGTCCCCATTTCCTTTTTTCCTACGCGCACCCCATCAACTGTACTAATAGTAGTATACTACCACACCTGAGTACTAGTAATTAGTCTTACGCCCGGAGTAATTCTTTTTCTATATTTATTTAAAACTTCAATTACCTTGTTTTAAATAATCATATATGATAAATGTAACTTAAAATACATATATATTTTTAATTAGAATGTAATTATGTGAGATTTTTTTATAAATATTTTATTGCAACCAATATAACAATGGAACCGGATCGTAAATACGATAAGTATTTTTAGAGAAAATTTTAGAAGAAGGAAAAAGACATGCAAGACCTAATAGCAAAATAGATCTTCAGCTTATCTGTAGATGTTTACTATAGTAGTTCTCCAACGTATGGTCGACATCGCTTATTAATCTAGTGTCACGCGATAGGGAAAAAACGAGAGCACTCTTAATTTAAATTTTTTTGTTATTTAATCATATGCTAATGAGTTTTCTCGTTTTACACACGCTAAACATCTTTTTCCAATAGGAGAGAACGAACACAGCCTTAATACTAACTTCGTTTCGTACTACGCGAGAGTTTCCAATTCCAACTTTTTGTACCATATTCCTTCATATTTAATATATTTATGCTTCCATTAATTTGTATTAGCTGTCAATATGAAAAAAAAAATCAGACGTAATCTTTTTTTTTCAATGGTATCAAATTCAACCATTTTGATTGTTTAGTTGATTTTCAGCACCAATGTCAGACCTGCATTGAGCTCTAACTATGTGAGTTGGCTCTATAAGTTAGGGTTAAAATAGGTTGATATAAGCAAGTTTAGATACTCATAACTCACTTTAGGATGTGCTTTAGAGGAGGGAAAATAGGAAGATTGGGAACATACTAAATAAGGTGAGACATTAGCGTTTGATTAATTGAGTATTAATTATTTTAAAATAATAATATTAATTAATATGATTTTTTAAAGCATCTTTCTTATATTTTTTTTCTTGCAAAACATACGTTTAACTGTTTGAGAAGCGTGTGCGAGTAGAAAGTGAGGGATTTTTTTTTCTTCCTTTGTCCTTCTAACAAAAACTGCCTTAAATGGCATAAATGTTTTTCAAAATTTTGGGCTCTTTGGATTTGCCGTGTATTTACCAAGATCACAATTTGGAGTTTTTTTAGAACACAAGACAGATATAGTATTCTTTATAGATAATTGGACGTATTATGCTCAATTTTTTATAGGGATAAATTAAAGGCTACTTTTGCTAAAATATGTTGAACAACTTATCTTAACTCATGTATAAAGTTTTGTTAGTTAGAAATTGTACTTTTGGAAACATGACACAAATAGTCCGCACATAATTCACCAGCTACAATCTAAAACAATTTGTTCTTAGTAGCTATTTCAACAGATTATAACAGCAAAGTTTTTTTTAAAAGAAAAATGTTTTACTGTATAGCTCACACCACTTCTTGTAAGCTAATACTACTCACTTTGTCCTAACTTATATAAAGTAAGTTTACTTTTACCCTCTTCCATTTGTTCCAAAATAAATTTACTTTTGAGTCATCATTATATTGGAGTTTATGAAAGTGGGAGAAAAATATAAGGAATAATCACATTGAGATTTGATAATGTAAGAGTATTTTATTTTTCTTCTTGTTTTTATATTGGTATATACATGTGTAGGACAGATTAAAAATAAACTTATTTCAAGACAGAGGGAATATTTGTTAAGTCTATTTAAACAAAAGGCACTGTCTACACATCTGTTGACAGAAAATCCCACCTCCTATCTTTCAAATTTTGGACCAATGGATATGCTTCAAGATTCGTGCAGACCCCTTAACCCTAACTTCTCTCCTCCCCCCCATCCAGATCACGCTGCCACCGCTACTCCCGTCCCTCGCGCGTGATCCCCCGCCGCCACCGCCCCATCGTGCCGCCGCCCGCCTTGCCGGCTGGCCGAAGGGCGCCAACGGCGCCGACGAGGCCCCCCAGCCAGCCTCTCCCTCTCCTTCCTCCTCGAACCGTCGGCGACGAGATGCCCCCGCCACCAACGCCGGCCCACCGCTGTCCTCCAGCCCCGCGGCTCCGGCGCCTCGCCACCCGCCCGATCTGCCGTCCACCGCCGGGCTGTCGCCTCCCCGGCCATCCCTCTAAGCCCGGCGAACTCCCCCTTCTCCCTCCTCCCCCTTCCCCTCCCACCCTTCCCACCCCACCCCTAGGACCCTAATTCATCGGCCCTTCATTGGAGTTTGGGTTGTCGTCGGCGCCGGAGAAGAAGAGGAGTTCGTCGGAGTTGGAGAAGAGGCAGCTGGAGCACGAATCGCGAAGCACATCCAGTGAACCAAAAATTGCAAGATTTGGAGGTAGGTTTTCTGTCGACTGAAGTGTAGCAATTCCGTAAAAAAAAACCATTTAATTTATCCCTACGATTAAGTAGATAATAATAATACGAATGTTGCACAAGAGATAAAAAAAGCTCTCTCATCACATCATGGGTACAATAGGGGTGTGGTCGGATCAATTCCACCCATTCTTTTCATTCATCCCCCTCCCCCCATAATTAATGAGCCCCTCCCCCTCCCTCGTACACATCACACGTTTCGCCTCCCTCCTCCGCTCGTCTTCTTCATTCTCTCTCCTTCGCTTCGCTTCCAAATCGCCCGCAATTTCTCCCCCAAAAACCTCCCCTCCCCCCACCACCACCATTAATAAACCCCTCCTCCTCCTCCTCTTCTTCCTCCTCCGCCTCGCCATCTCACCGCCACCGCCTCCTCACTCACTCACTTCCTGCCACGTCATTCGCGCCATCGATCGCGTCGTCGCCTCAGCTGCCTGTAAGTGGTGAGGTGACGACCTCTGCTGTCTCCTTTCTTGTTCTTTGTTCTTCCTCCAATATCGGATCGTCTCGGGTTGGGGTTGGGGTTGGCTCGGCGTGGATCGGTGTGTTGTTGTTGGTGGCGACGTGTTTCTTCTTCCTCGTTGAAAGATTGGATTTTTTTTTTTGGGTTGGTATTATTGCGGAGATATTTCGTGGGTGGGTTCGGTTTGTTTCTATCTTTTTTTTTTCTTTTTTACCTTTCCTTTTTTTTGTGGGGGTTTGTGGGGGGATTTTTTCTGGGGGTTGTGATTAATCAGCTGCCAATCTAATCTGGGGGGATTGTGCTGGGTGTGAATACTTGAATTTTGGATGGAAAGTTCTTGGATTCTTAGCTTTCGCGTCCTCTGTTTCCTTTCTTGATCTCCTCTTTTTTTTCTTTTCTTTTTCTTTTTACTTTCCTTGATGATGAATTCGAATTCGCTTGTGATGTTGATCGATCCGCTTGTGGTGATGATGCTGGGAGGAGCAGAGAGGAAGAGGAGGAGTAGAGCTCGTCGTCTCCGCCGCCGCAGCTGGTGCTCGCTGTTGATTTATGTCGCCTGCTCTACCCCCGTTTCTCCATGGTTCTGAGCTCCAGTCGCCGCCAACGGTTTCTTCCTGCTCCCTTCTCATCCTCCTCCTTCAAAATTGGTATACGAGGGGCGCAAGAACACAGCAAAATCCCTTCACGATCTCCAGGTAACCCATGCATTTCTCTGTTTGGTTTAATCCGATTCGTTTGAATTGAAACCAATATTGTCCATTATCTCGGTAAATAAAGTCAGTCGTGTGTGCATGTTGTTGTTTCTCTATTTCTTTCTAGGACAGCATATATTATATGTACTAATATGTTTATTAAGATTGTCTTCCTTGCATGATGGAAGATTGTTTTTTCAGTTGCTAGTTGCATATCTAGAGGAGGGCATGGTGGGTGGATATATTATTCTTTTAATTCAATGAGTATATATGACTGCATAACTGTGTTAAGAATGTTGATGCAAGTTTGGACTGGTTACCCAGCTGAGCTGCTTAATAAGGATTGATTTGTTGATCTTGTCATAGTCATAACGTTTCACTATTTTTAGATGCAAAGATGGATACGCTTGCTTGATCATTCTTTGCTCTAATAATGACCAATGTGCCTTCTTTGCTTGTTGGTTTCAGATTTGGATTTGGGGTGAAATACTTTGGCTTTCTTCATTTAGACTGGTGACAATTGAAGATAGCCCCCAAATTGCCTTAAGATTTGGTAAGTGTTGGCTGTTTTTAAGGCAATATATTATCAGCAAATAACTGCTCTTCCGTATTATAACTTTCCTAGTTTATTTGTACTACTTAAAGAGAACCTTTTCAAGACTAACTTACAGGGCATCATCACAAAACCTCTTTTTCCTTTTTATTCTTTCAGGTTTGGCTTGAGTGGATCAAGTACAGAATCCGAACTTTTGCAACCTGACATTCTTCTAGTTCACAAAGTCGGCCAGATTTGAGATTTCTCTCGGACATCTCTGTACACACAGGAGCTCTCTTTTGCTCCAGTTTTAAACAGAAGTTGGACAAAGGCTCTGTTTCTGGTTTTTTGAGTTTCTGCGATAAGCTTAGAGAGCAGACAACAAACTTTTGTCCTGATTCATCTAAACTCTTACCTGGTAGGTGAACATCTTTTCTGTTTTGCTTCTTTGCAATTTCATATCCTTTTATGAGCATATTTGACACATCCTCAGCCTTCTCTGCAGACTGCAATCAAGGCCAATTGTAATCCAATAATCTCTGATCTTGTTCTGGTTGCACGTTGAGATGATGGTGCCCTCTTCACGGAAAGTCCGTGTTTTCTGCTCTGATCCTGATGCCACTGACTCCTCTGATGAAGATGACCAGAATAAGAAGGAAAGGAGATTTTCAAGGGAAATACTAATTCCAATGGAAAACTCCAAGGCATCCAAACCTGTTAAGACCCTTGTTCAATGTGGCACAAAGACTGTAAAGGATTCCGAGAAGGAACCGACGAGCAAATACAGGGGTGTGCGCCGGCGGGCGTGGGGCAAATGGGCTGCAGAAATACGTGACCCTGTGCGAAAATCAAGGAAATGGATTGGCACATTTAACAGTGAGGAGGAGGCCGCTGCGGCATATCTTGCACAATCAAACCAGTTCCATGAAGAGTTGATGGCCTTGAAAATCCAATCTTCTGTATCAGAGCAGGAAGATTTGTCAAGCTCTGTTACTATATCCTGCGTGTCCTCATCTCAGTCATGTGACCAGAAGATTCAGGCAAAGCCACAAGAACACAAGAGAGTGTCAGTGGTGGTTAACCGTGAGACCGTTGAGCAGAAGTTTAAGGCACAGCCACAAGCTCAGAAGATTAAGGCACAGCCAGAAGTGCAGAAGAGAGTGTCAGTGAAGATTAGCCATGAGACTGAGGATGAGCACTTGCTGAACTTGCCGTCCACGCCTAAAGGCAAAGAGATTTCGATGGGCGCTGTTCTTGGCAGGATAGATGAGATTCCTGTGAGCAACTGTGTGGGCCATATTGATGAATTTCCACCTGATGATTTCACTAGGCTTGCAGATGCGTTCCCAGTTAGTGATTTTATCGGCATGGCAGATGTGCCACTGGGCGATGATTACATTGGCCTTGCAGACATCAGCCACCTGCCGCTGCCTATCACAGATCTGAAGTTCGACCTCAATGCAGAACTCAACTGGGACGGGTTCGACTTTGCTTCATTGGAACAAGAACTCAACTGTCTTTGATGGCTTGAATCCTGTTCTATGTGAAAACCTCTTGTTGATTGAATTGAGTGCAGGAGGTAGATTCAGGTATCCATCTTTCACATTGCTGGCAGGCCGAGTGTATGATCTGGAGATTTTCATCTCCAATTTTGCCGGAAAATTGTACAGTCCCCCTACAGCAAACAAATGAGTACCGCAGTATTTATGTATATGTTCACCAATCTCAAAAATGTTAATGAGATTGTGGTGACAGACCGTCCTTGATCTCAGTTTGGTTGTGTATTTGTTGGACGCCATTATTATATTTGTTAATTTTGATATTGTTCTTGTGATTCTGAAGTTATGTACAAATGTAAATATAGGCCTGATAAAATCCAGTTATTGTAAATAACCTTACTAATTTTAGGCAATGAACAGCTAAGAATAGTTCATTGTTGAACAAAAATGATTAATTTTTGTTGTTAAACATGGTAACGTTGCTTTTCTTTCTGAAGGATCAGTTCCCTAGTTGATTGGATTCCTACTCTCTGCTGAACATGTGTAATTCTGTCAGACAAGAGTAGTAACACAAAAATGAAAACAAAAGAATAATAGTATCCAACATTGCTTCTCTTAGTGCATGGAATTAGTTTCAAATTCAAAATGATTGACATAGCCACATTACTGCTAATACAAACACCATGTAGTAGTAGTCTAATGATGCAGCATCTGAAGAACATGAATACATATTTCTCTAGATGTTGTTAACTTCTCTGAATTCAGCTGTGGGATGCAAAATGCTGTGGAGAAAGAAAGAAAGACCCATGGCCGCCGCCGCCACCGCCGGCGGCGCTCCGGCGATCAGTAGGCGGCGGCGCACTCGAAGGAGACGTCGCAGCCGGGGACGGGGGTGAGCTTGATGGCGTGCTTGACCCTGCTCATGAACACCGGGAGGTAGGACATGGCCTGGCAGATGCAGGCGTTGTCGATGCCCATCAGACGCCGGCAGCACGCCGTGTCGTAGGGGTCGGCGCGGTGGCTGCGCAGCCGCCCACCGCCGCCGCCACCGCCACCGCCATGGCCGTGCTCGCGCTCGCGGTGCTCCGCCATTACCGCCACCGCCGACTCGTTGAGCTGGCGCAGCGGCACCGCCGGGTTGGGGCCGGAGAAGGTCCGGAGGCTGCAGGCCTCGTTTGCCAGGTTGAACTGCGACCTGCAGAACACCTGGGCGTTGGCCTCCGTTGCCATGAAAGTGAACAGTAGCAGGAGTACCAGTAGTACTACTACTGCTGCTACTGATGACAGTGGTGGCAATGGTGGTGATCTCTTCTTGTTCTCCATTGCTGCTGCTGTTTTTTTTTTCTTTCTTGATTTGTGGTTTGGTGATGTTGATCTGTGGTTTTGGAGGATGGTTTTTGGTGGTTTAGTGAAGAAAATGGGGGAAGGGGTTTAAGTAGTGAAACGGCGGTTCGTTTAGGCGCGGTTCTGGTTATTTTTCGGGGGGTTCGGGTTGGAGTTAGGAGGGGGAGGTTCAGCACTCTGTTAGGATTTTGCAGTCTGGTGCTGGAGATTCAGGTTACTCATGCTTGAGTTGTGATCAGTTGACAATTGACTTGACATCTTTTTTTTTTTTTGGTCTTATGGTTCAGGGGGTCAAGCAGAACAAGTGTGACATGTACTGAGCTTTTCATCTCTAGAATATCATTTGCAGTTTACATTGCCTTCTGTTCATCAACTAGTTTTATTTTCCTTTTCCTTTATTTTAAGGTAGATCTTTTATTTTTTTTCCTTTCTAAAAGGCAAGTTAGGCTAAACAAACATGATGAGTAAAAAGCAGCAAGGCTGCCTTGTAAGTTGAGCATTTTATTGAGGTATTCTAGTTTATTCCATTAGAACATGATTTCTATTGCTTGAGGGACAGTCTCAATCAGGCAACACAAACATTTGACAGTTTTTGGCAGGTTCGTAGTGAAAGGTGCAGGATATATATTTATATACATGTTCTCTATCTCCCTATATTCTTTTTCTCTCTTTGGTGGCAAAGCATTTCTTCAGGTTGGAACCTTTTTTTTTTACAACCTGACCATGTTCTTTCTACTTTTAATCTGCATGTAAGGTAGGTAACTCTACTACTCCCTCCGTTTCACAATGTAAGTCATTCTAGCATTTCCCACATTCATATAATTGTTAAATGAATCTAGACATATAACTATATGAATGTGGGAAATGCTAGAATGACTTACATTGTGAAACGGAGGAAGTACTAAACAAATCACTTTACACATTACTCCATATCCAACTATTATTTTGTTTCTAAGAAAGAATACCTTGGGTCTGTAAAATACTCCTTTCAACTTCAAAAGTTGCCTCGTTTGATTTGGATGATTGAGCGAATTATTACCATGGATTATCTACTTGATTATAGAAATAAATTAAATATTTCGAGAAATGAACTAAACAAATAGGTTAAAACAAGTAGTCTAAGTAATACAGTAAATTAAAATGACTTTTAAAGCATAGAGTAAATAATCCGTTCTAATAATCCAATAAATAGTCTAAATAGCGTAATTAATGGTTCTTTTTATCCTATCTTTTCTTTTAAAGCGAACAATTCCATGCTCATATGCAGACTCAACAACAGGTAGCAACTGAAACTTTGCAGGTTTAAAGCTGCAGCATATATCTGCCATTTCCCAAATTGCCTCCAAAAAGCAAGGAATTACATCCTGTAAACCTTTTCTTTGCAGCCTAAAATTATTTTTTCTACAACAAAAAAGCTGTACTTCATCATTCATCATTGGGTACCTTTTGTGTTCAAGAAAGATGCAGGAGTATAATTCTACTTCATCATAGCCTGCTTTGGCTTATAAAAACTGAAGATAATTTTGAAACTTGATCTTTAAGAATAATTGTGTAAGAACTTTTTATTTATCTTCTTAGCAATCAAGAACAGAAAGCTGAGCAATGAGAGTAGCAAATAAGCCCCTAAAGTTAATCCTAAAATCACCAGGCTTCAGCTGCACCAAGCAGGCTTATCTTAAAAAGGAACTTCGTCAGCTTATTAAAAAAGTACTGCAGTGGCAAGATATATTGGTCATATTCTTTTTAATTATTGAAAAGGACCATTTGTTCTACGGTTCGAAAAATACATTTTCTCAAAAAACTTCCTCCTACTATATTTATTAGATCACTTGTTATGTTATTTCAAAAATATTTAATTTATCCTTGCAATCAAGTAGATAATTCATGATAATAATCGTTCAATGATCTAAAAATCAGAATTTATCTTTATTTGCAAGTGTTTAAAAGTGCTACAGTGTCGCACTACTGGCAAACAGCAGGCACCTTAACCAATCGCATGATTGCAACTTAAATTAGGCATCTCTGTGGAGAGGTTGCCGTCAAAGGTGCTGGATGATGCGCTATACCAGCTTCTGCTGTCACAGCATGGGACCCACCATTGCACTTTCTGTTCTGCCTTAACATTCTGATATGGGCTCCAAAAATGTTGTCTCACACCTTGTCCCTGTTGGCCCTTTAAGGATTAATAATAACATTTTTTTAATTGATTAGTAGTTTTAACAGTTTCTTTTCATTGACTATAACATTAGTTGAGACCTCTGAAATGGAGTAATTTTGCGTGAATTTTTGAGGAAATGAACTATTTTTTGTGAAAATTCTGTAACATTTATGCGTCTGAAAGAGGGTCTCAAAGAATTCGACCCATTTGTTTCATGTGAAGAGAGTTGTCAATTGAAAATTCTTACGAATTCCGCCTTCAACTGTTGGAGCTAACCAGAGCTCTTACATGGATACACGTGCTTTCCTCGTGTTGCGTGCACCTTACACATGGTTTTTTTTTAGAAAATAGGTTTTTATTAATCTGGCTTTTTTATCTATGAAGGATATACACAACCAAACCTTATACGTAACTATCTATCGATCTCCTGACCGTCGCGATGTTTGGTTGCCTGCGTGAGCTGCTTTCTTGATAGATCGCAACCCCTGTGAGACTTTCACACAAGGGGACAATATCATGATGAAATTGAAGAAATATGATTACAAGATGATTAGGAGGACACGAATTCACCCCAAATTTGTTCCAAGATGTGACTGCCTCCAAATTAAATGCGATGTGCAACAGAGCTGGAAATGACAGAAAGGAACATATGAGACAATGACGCTTCTAATGGCCAAATTTTTCGGCACATAAAGGCGTATTTGGTGATAGGGTTTGGACGGCGACGTGATGGCTGGTCAATAATTAGATTAAACGCCAAAATTAATTGAAATTTTTGACAAATTGTTTGAACGCTTTAGTTTTGTGTAGAATCAGCGGGCTGGTTAATTTAGCGTCGTTGCTTCCTTAGTCGCTGTCTTATTTGTTTTTTTTGTCAAAGTTTTTTCAGAATTTGCTTTTCAAAGTTGAGCTGCTGCTTAAAACGCGTAGTAATTTACTGTACATTAATTAACGTTTAAGGTCAAAACTTTGCAAATCACGTGGAAACATACCTGTTCAAGCAAGCTTGGATCATGAGCTAAAACAAAATAAAGGCTAGATTATGACAGGTTTTATTCTACCTCTTCCTCATGAGCACGAGCATCATACAAAATTGTACCATTAGTTGCGTGTAACCACTACAACAGGCACACTAATCACCCCATCATCAATCACGCTAATTAGCACTCCCTCGTTGGGGCCACATGTCACGGACCGGAGCTCCGATTCCACGAATTAAGTTAAAATCGAAGAATGTGTAGGGGGCATATGACAAAATGGACTGGAAAGACTAGAAAAAGAGTGGTAATGATGCTTTTCCCATTTTATCATTCTCATCTCTGTTGTTGTTGATCACCACAACATGAATCAAAGAATTAATGGTGGTACAAAAGCTAGTAATTAATTGTACATACATGAATAGATCATCATCATCATCATCATCCCCAATGTGTGATCACCATCAACCGATGTGAAAAATCTCCAATCTCTTCTTGCGAATTTCTGATGCAGTGCAACAGCTAAATCATTGCCCCCTACATCCTCCAAATTTTTTAAATCACTTTGATTAATTTTCTTCCTAAATATTGCAAATCCCACCAGCTAAATCAATCAATCTCCCCATCACCACCACACCACACCAACCCTCCCAAATGGCCATCACCCTTATTTCCCCCACTGACAGGTGGGGCCCACCTGGAAGACTAATAAACCGTATTCACACCTGCCCACCGTGCGGTGCCGTGCCGTGACGTCTCACTTGGGGGAGGTCGCGACGGCGGCGAGGAGGCCGGCGCGGCGGCGGCGGCGGCGGCGGGCGGCGTGCTCGTCGGCGTGGGGGTGGGGGTGGTCGCGGCGCCAGCCGAGTACCACCGGCGGCGCCTCCGCGGCCGGGGCACGGCCGCCTTCATCGGCGTCCCACCACGCCCCACCGCCGCCACTCGCCGTGATCGAGTCCCACAGGCGGACGGCTGCGGCGGAGGAGGTCCCCGGCGCGAGCAGCCTCGCCCCGCCTGAGATGCGGCGGGGTAGATCCTGCCACGTCCGCACCACGGTGCCGCCCCACGGGAAGCAGCCGTCCTCGTCGTCGTCGGCAACGCCCTCGTAATACCCGATCCTCCTCTCGCGCCGCCGCCCCTTCTCCTCCTCGCCGGAGGAGCTCTCCTCCTCGTCCTCCTCCTCCTCGTCCTCATCGGTGCCGTCCGAGTCGGAGTCGTCGCCGGAGGAGTAGTAGGTGGAGATGTGGGAGGAGATGACCTCCTTGCCGCGTGAGCGGAGGCGGAGGATGAGCACCTGCAGCCGCCGGAGAAGGCTGGGCAGCGTCGCCAGCGCCGCGAGCGCGACGGCCAGCGGCGCCCACATCTCCGCCAGCAGCGCCGCCACGCTCGGCCCCCGGAACCTCCCCACCCCGGCCTCCAGCATCGCCGCCGCCGCCGTCTCCATCATCCCCGCCTCCGCCACCGCCGCCGCGGCGCCGCCGAGCAAAAAACCCAACAAAAAATATTTCAAAAAAAATAAAAAAAATCAACACGTTATCGCGTCGCGTGGGGAGGAGAAGAGAGAAGAGGAGAGGAGAGAGGAGGCGGCGATGCCTTCGCTTTAAAGCCACCGCGCGGGGGGTGGGGCCCACATCGCGGTCGGTGGTAAATCGGGGCGGGCCCACCCTGTCAGTGACCTGGTCGGGGGGTGTAAATCGGGTGGGCCCACCCTGTCGGTGACCTGGGGGCGTGGTGGGCCTCGTGTGTGGGGGAGGAGGAGAAAAAAAAAAGGTTTTGTTGCGGTCGACGTGTGCACGCGTGTGACCTTTTCCCACCTGACCTCTTCTAAACCCCTGGGGTTAAAACGTGCGCTGCGTTAGGCTGACATGTGGGGCCCGGAGTCGCTCCGGCCCCACGTGTCATCGAGATCGCGTATAGACGCGGCGCGGCGCACGGGCGGATGCGGGTGCGACCGAGCCGAGATCGAGGTGCCGTCTCGGGAGGCGCGCGAGAGAGGGGTACAGGCGCTGACGGGTGGGGCCCAGCGCGTGGTGGTTACGCGCCACGTGTGGGGGGTGGTGTGTGGGGCCCGCGGGTGAATGGTGGGGGGCGTTGGTGAGTGAGTGAGTCAGCGTCGCGTGTGCCTCAGCTTCACCGACGGACGGCTGTGGGGCGACGGGAGGGGAGGGGCGAGATCGTGTGGCTGGGGATGGTCCGGATCCGGTGGGGGAGGTGGTGGATTCTGTCAGCCACTAGGTTGGCGCCACGTCGGCGACAGTATCTCTGTGCAAGGCACTTGTACACGTCTGCATGGAAGACCGGCCCTCTCACTTATCTCCAAGGCCATTGTGTTCTTATCCCTTCCTGCCTGCTTTGCCTGCTTCATTTCTGGAAGAGTGCTGCAAATGCTTAAAAATTGCTCCTTGTATTTCATATTAAGTCGCTTTAATTTCTTTTCTGATCAAGTACTTTTAAGTTTGATTATATTATAGAAAAATATAAACATTTAAACAGATTTAACATATTCCAGTACCACAAAACTAGACGACCTATCTAGATTCGTGGTATTATGATATGTCCTATCCATTCAAATGTTGCTATATTTTCGTATTATCATAATATATTAAATATTAGTTTTAATGAAACTAATTTAATGTTGTAGATATTGCTAAATTTTTCATTTAATCAAAGTTAAAGAAAGTTAAACAGAAAAAAGTTAAAACGAATTATAATGTAAAATGGAGTAAATACTTACGGTATTCCTACAAACAAATTTATTAGGCTTTTCGTAATAGAGTTTAAGTGAGTGTATACGCCTTAAAAAAAAGAAATACCAGTAGCGTATATGATTAGTTAGATATTAGCTATTGCAAACTTAAAAAAAAGATTTATTTGATTAAAAAAATGTTTAACAATTGAAATGTATGCTTACGTTAATGTGAAAGTAGCTCATCCATTAAGCACAAACGAACACACCCTTAGCCATTTGATCAATTGGTGGCTTTAGCTAGAGGTGGTTCTTTTGCTACCTGGCTCAACCTCTATTTCAACGAATGCAAGGAGTAAAAAAAAAAGAATTATATCTAAAATTGTTGCAAATAATTTGAAATTTGTTTAGCTCAAAATTAGTTTTTGGCCAAAGAAATGTTGTCAGTCACCACCTGTTTATTTGCGCGCCAAAACCACGTGTCATCATTGTAAAACGGTATACCATGGGGCTTCTCACAGTCCTTCTCTCTAGACCAAATTAATTTATATTGCCATCGGGGTTAATTGAAGTCTTTGGAGTCCCAGCTCTTTATAAACCACAAATTGAAATTTGTTTATTTGGTGTGGTCTAAATTAATGTTTGCTTGCAACGACCATGCATCGATCTTGTTTAATTGGCTTTCGTATGTGCATTGCATTTGACTCGTTGATCGAGTGTTTGGAGCTTGGTCGATGATCATGTGGTGTGTTGCACGGACCCATGAATTGATTATGTAGTGGTGGCCAAATTAAAGAGGAGCAGTCAATCCAGCCTAGCTTGCCCCCTGCATATTTGATTAGTTGCATGGACGACATAATTTGTTCAAGAAACTTCAATGTCTGGATTTTGATTATTAGATGGTGGTTTTTGCGTATAAAGAAATGCATATTGATTTCCTTTTGGCTTGCTAACACCACTAACTGAATCTCTCGCGTGCACACATGTAATATTTAAATGCACGGCCTTAATTATTAACTTGCAAGCAATGTATACTAACCATGTGTATATATTGATTTGGAATATATATTTCTCATAGATTTTACGGAGCGATGCTGGAAGGAGTGGCAAATCAAGAACATTATTTTTTTTATGGAAAAAGTACGAATTACCTCCCCGTCGATCTATCGCGGTCGACCGATTTAACCCCCTGAACCATAAAACCGAACATTCTTCACCCCCAACTATGCAAACCGGACGAATTACCCCTCTCGACATAATCCGTGGTGGTTTTGGTCTACATGGTAGTCAAGTCAGCAATTCTTTTAATAAAATATTGGTGGGCCCACCTGTCAATTTGCCACCCCTCTCTCTCTATCTCCCCAATCCCTCTCTCTCTCCTCCCTCCCCTCACCAGCGCAGGAGTGAAGGACGACGCTCGGGCGCTGGCGCTGGCGGTGGAGGCGGAGGTTGCTCGAGCGACTGTCGGTGGAGCGGAGGGGAAGGTATCGCGAGTGGCCAGCGGGGGAGGCGGGGCTCGCTTGGGCACCGGCGACGCGCTCATGCAACCGGCAGCGGAGGCGAAGGCGAAGGCGGGTAGCGGCGCGCACGGCGGTGGCCATGGCGGAGAGGCTGTCATACCTCTTCCTCCCCTCCCCTGCTAGGGTGCGCCGCAAGCTCTGTCACTGCCCTCGCTATACCCACTCTCCCGACGACGCTAGAGAGAGAGAGAGACAGAGAGAGAGGGGCGGAAGTCGTGTTGAGCGGCCGCCTCCTCATCCCCCGCCGCCGCCGCCTCCGCGTCACCCGCCACCGCCGCCGCCCCTGCTCCCGCTGTCGCCGCCTCAGCGTCACCCGCCGCCGCTGCCGCTCCATGTCCCCCGCCTGCCGCCGACCCATGAGAAGAGTGTGACAGAGAATGATAGAGAGAAGAGAGAGAGGAAGAGTGAGAGAGCGAGTGAGAGAGAAGAGGGAGAGGAAGAGTGGAAGAGGAGTATGATTGGTGGGTCCCACGTTTTTTTTTGATAAATAGAATGCTGACCGGATTGCCACGCGTACGTCATGTAGACCAAAACCATCAAGGATTGGGTCGAGGGAGGTAATTCGTCTGCTTTGCATAGTTGGGGGGGTGAAGAATGTCCGGTTTTGTGGTTTAGGGGGTAATTCAGTCGACCGCGATAGTTCCACGGGGGAGGGGGTAATTCTTACTTTTTTCTTTTTTTTATTGTGCATAAGCCGGCACATAAATGGGTACGTGCTTTACCGAATAAAGTTTATATCATCGTACTGAGATGAAGATCTGAGCGACAGGAATTTTGAGTGACATGAATTTCGGTAATAAGTTATTTTTTGAATGTTATGTCACGTCCACGTGCACGCTTAGTAGTTACTAAACACATCTATGTACCATGTGTGTGCATGCATTATATTACTTTCTTATATTTAATCGCAATAAAAATGTGATTGTGGTGTGAGTTTGGGATTTGAAACATACTCCCTCCATTTCATAAAAAAATCAAATGTAATATATTCTACTACTATAAAATCAGTATATGATAGCTGTCCAGATTTATAGGACTAGATTGTAACATGTTTCGTAGTAGATTTGTTTTGTAGGGTATGAAGGAAGTAGTAAGCATATTTCAGCATAAGTAACTTAACCAACGGATCTGCCCCGTTTACTCATGGACACCCTTCAGCTCCTCATATGAATATATAAGATACATTTGAAAAAAAAGAAAATGTTATACCAAGTTTACCCCCTCCTCAACTCTTGTAGTAAGACAAAGACATACTTCCTCCGTTTTTTAATAGATGACGCCGTTGATTTTTTCTCACATGTTTGACCATTCGTCTTATTCAAAAAATTTACGTAATTATAATTTATTTTGTTATTAGTTGTTTTATCACTCATAGTACTTTAAGTGTGATTTATATCTTATACATTTGCACAAAATTTTTGAATAAGACGAATGGTTAAACATGTGAGAAAAAGTCAACAGCGTCGTCTATTAAAAAACGGAGGGAGTATATGTTTGTAAAATGAAATTGACATGATTTTTCCCGCAAAAAAAAAAGAAATTGACATGATTTTGGTAGTTACTTGCGTCATGTAGGCGTCAGAGTATTTTATGGCAATCTCTACTTATTGTACATTGTTCAACAAATAAAATGATATTTGAAATGATCTAAATCACTATATCCATTTTTTAAATATGTCGTCATTGACTTTTTATTAAAGCTTAACCATTCGTCTTATTCAAAAATTTTATGCAAATATAAAAATATTTAAGTCATGATTAAGGAACATTTGAAAGAACATTTAATGATGAATCAAGACATAATAAAATAAATAATAATTACATAAATTTTTTTAATAAGACGAATGATCAAACGTATTTAACGGCATTATATATTAAAAAGAAACGGGGATAGTACCAATTTATAAGGGCCTATTTGATTGGATTAATTTTTATACTCCTTGATTCTACTCACAATAATTAAGCTGGTGGTACAAATTAATATTGGTGCTTGAGAGAGAGAGAGGGAGAGAGAATTATAGAATCCACCAAAAAAGTTTTCGCGATATAATAAAAAGAAAATTGATGCTAGCTATAGCTTGCTTCAGCAGCAAAGAAAACAAGCACCGCCCTTTCCAGTACTGCAACATGGGAAAATATGTGGCGGAAACCACATATACATTGGAAACTTGAAAACTGGCGTTGGATCGAAAATGGACGTCCGAGATTCGTCCATGTCATCACGAGTAAAAATTTTACTCAAAATTGTCATCACGAGTAAAAATTTTACTCAAAATTAATTTTCTACTCTTGATAACGTGGACGAATATCGAACGTCCATTTCTCGTTCCAATGGTAGTTTTCAAGTTTCCACCATATGT